TAATACATACAATAATACTAATAATACTTGATGAGGTTAAAATTTTTTCTTCTACCTCATCAAACAGAAAAATACCAAATTTTTTTGTTTCAAAAGTGTTTCACATCTTTGAATAATAATAAAACTCTAATTTTGTTGAATGTATGGCAAAAATTACTAATTCGTCGTTCAGGGATTGATTGAGAGGGACTAACTTAAATTCATACGAGCAATTATTTTCTAATAATTGAGAATGAAGTTTTATTAATAGACTAGTTGATGATCATCAATAAACAAAGTGGGATGGAAGCTAACCATACTCATTTATCTGTGTACTCTCTCTATTGCCATTTTATCTACATGTATATATATGTGCTTGATGCAAAAAGGAATAGCTTAGAATTCTTTATAACGATAAAATTCCTGAATTTTTTTTTATTGCTTTATTCGTTGTTATGGTGCATTTATCCGTGATGAGAAAAAAAAGAAAAGATTGAGCGTCCGAGCGAACATGTACATTTTCCCTGGTTTACATAAGCGTAATGTGTTATGCTATGTGTGTAAAAGAAAAGATGCATCATGAACGGTTGTTCATCAGAAATCTAATGTTCATATTCTCGATGAAGGTGATGGATGATATCAGTATTGAGAATCGACAAATTTTTCCCTTCGTTTCATAATAACAATAATATGAATTTTTCTGCATAATTAAATAATTTGGCATTTTTTTTTAAGGGAAATGACCATATGTTGTTGCTATACTTGATGAAACCTGAATTCAAACGGCAGCAATGAACCAGTTTTAGAAAAAAAAAGTGGAGAAATTCCAAGATGCTGTTGTTTTTTATCGTTATTTTAAACATGCATTCTCAATGAAAAAAGATGCTCCGCTTGATTGTTTGTTATGTAAGTGAATCTTTAATTTTTTTGTCTGTGTGTGCCCATTTTCCATTATTATAAAATTTTCGCTGCAAATTCCATATTTAACTTATTCCTTGCTTTTTCCCACCATCATACACACTGCATAGCTTTGCTCCTCTAATGCTATTTAACTTTGGTCTCCTGCATTTTTTTTTTCCTTCTTGACTATGAATTTTGCGTGTCACAGTTAACCTTTTTCGCAAATGATTTGATATAATAATCTTTTTTAACAAAAGATCTTACTTGCTCCGAAAACGAAACAAGATATCTCTTTAATACTGTATTAGTATTACAAAATAAAGTACCTGATTGACGCAAACTCTTACTTTTATTTACGTCCAAATCCACGTTCTCCCAGGGTGCTTGAATCGATGAGCATAATGACCGAGTATTTGTGCAAGTATGCGTGTGTTACCATATTTAGATCCAATGAAACCAGCTAAACCCTTTCTTCTTATATATTGTATACATATATATATGTATGTATGTGTATTAAGCTCCAATCTACCTCTATTACATTCATAAATCAGCGACTGTGCACACATCTAGGATGTTGTGTACACGCAAAAACAGAGTGCGTTTATGGGTTTTCGATTGGCAACAGGTTTTTCTATATACTTTCCTAGACTAAAAAAGAAAAAAAAATTTGAATTTCTTGTTCACCGACACCGCACAAGCTTTTCATTCATTCACACCCTTCTTCTCCGTCCCATCATTTTCGTCTTCCGTCCATTGTTCCTCTTCCATCCTTTCTCGACTTTATCTTTTAGGGAATAGATTACTTATTATTTTTTTACTATTATTATAATAATTAATTAATACCCGAAAAATATTTATTTTTTTTTTGGTGTATATGTATTTATATTCTATTTGCCACTAAATTAATAATACACTGTTTTATTATTGTAACTTTATTTCTAATTAATTATATTATCAATTAATTAATACTACTAACTCTCTTCCTTCTTTTATTTTCATTATATTATCCCCCACCCATCCGCACTTTTTTTTCCTTCTTCCTCGTGTATATTTGTGCTATTATTTTTATATTGAATATTCTCCTTCTGTCTTCGATAGATATATTTATATAAACTCGTTATTTTACTCATCTTGATTTCGTCAACCCAGAATTTTTTATGTATTAGAGAGAGTGAGTCCCCATAAAGCCTCCTAGAGTCTGTATTAAAAATAACTTATAAAAAACGATAAAAATAAGAGAAAACGAAACTAAAATCATTGCTTCTATTCAGTTCCCTAAAAGTAAAACAAATCATAGTTAGCTAATATCATCGTTATATTGATATCATAGTTCCATTAATAGTCACAGCAGAAACCTCAATCACAAAAACATAATAATAATAATCCTATTAAGATAATAATTTACAAAGGAAAGGCAATATTGTGTTGATGATATCTCACCATAAATCCAATCCACCCGCATCTCATTTATTCATTTAGACAGACTTTTGTACCATAAATACATACATCTATCTATAATTATATACATATACATATAAAATTAGAAAACTGGGCAATCAGAGAATGAATGTTCATCCGGAAACTGTTGTATCAGAGATTACAACTATTCCTCCTTCAAATATCACAACAACGACGACGATGACAGATTTAAACTCTTCCAATAACATTAATAGTAATAATCATCATCATCATCACCACCACCATCATCATCATAACGTCAATCAAACGGATAAAATGAAGCGTTCATCAATAAATAATCGTGTTAAAGAAATAACATCAAAACCAACAAATAACGATACTATTAATTCACCTACATCAACGATAAAGTCAAAATTTTCTTTGCCCGTAAGAAAATCCGGTCCAAATATAAGTCGACCGAAGTCTGACACTTCTATTTCAAGACAAAACGATCATGTCACTTTTGAACCGCAACTGATCTCAAATGAGCGAACGATAGAAGATAAATCAACCTTACATCCATATCGATCAAATACAACGCCACCTTATCTAGGCAGATCTCCTTCTACTCCAACACTACGTAATTCTAATTCATCATCCAACACTGATTTACCTTCGATTGAAGATGAATTATTCTCATCCTCATCACCGCCTCAACTGCCTCCACTTTTACCAACAATAACATTTTCCTCCGATCTTATATGTGAATCATCACCTCCTTCATCACGTGCTTCTTCCCCAATTGTGTCTTCAAGTCCAATAACGACGCCCTCAGTTTCACCTTCTAATTCATCAATATCTTCATCTGATACTACAAATGACGATGAAACTGAAGCTCCTCTTGATATAACCACTTTTCTTGCTGCCCCTCGTCTCACTCAACGTGTTCGTCTAAAAAGTGGTCGTGTTTTAAGTTTT